CTTAAAAGGATGGCGGTGCAGAAGGAAGAAGAAGGTTCTATGTGGAGGGTTCAGAGGCGCCCTGGGGCTTGGGCAACAGAGAAAATGGCTGCTTACGTGTGCTTGGTTGCGGCGAGGAACCGGTGTGGTAGCTGGGTTGGGTATGCCTGGGGTGAAGGTGATGTGATTCACGAAGCCCATGGCTGTTAAATAGCCCAAGAACAAAGAGAGGAGCTTCTCTCTATGCTGGAGAGAAGAGGAGAAACTTATTAGGCCCAGCACAGACCAGGATCCCTGGGTTGATTATGTTGGATAAAGGGCCTCGGGCAGTTGGATGTGGATTATGTCAGAGTGAAAGTCCTTAAATTACAGGCATTTATAAATCCTGTGTCCTGTCTGGGTGCCTAATATGCTAGTAGAAACCTTTCAAAACAGCTGGGGTTGAAGATTAATTTTGTTATGTTATGCTTCCTTACTTAGATATAACATTTTGCTGGACATGATGGGACATGTGACGCAGTATTTTAAAATTTCACAATAATAAGCTTATTATAAGTTAACACTCGCGCACGTACACATGAATGCGTAAATTGTCTAGATCAGCAAAAAAGTATATTGATATACTTCTCAGAGCAAAACCAAGTGAACTCGTGAACCCACAGAGAGCATTCATTTTGGGTTCCCTAAAGACCCTTCGTTCATTCGTTCTCGGCTGCTCTTGTTTTCTTAGCATCTTCCGGGTAGAAAGTGAGTTCTGTCCCAGATCTTAGCAGGTGCTAGCGCAGGTCCTAGGGAAAAAGACCTGCTTCTCTCGGGGCTACTAAGTGTCCTGGTGCGCTGGAACGTGATGGCGCCACCGGTTCCTATGGCAGCCTCAACCAGAATACTTTGAAGACGCAGTGAACGCTACGGGGTTATTTGTCAGTGAACTAAGTTGGTAATAAAAAGGCTTACTGCCTGTCTTTGTGGCGCAATGGGTTAACGCCTTAAACAATTAACCGAAAGCTTGGTGGTTCTGAGCCCACCCAGTCACGAAAGTTTGACTGTTTTGAATCCCGGGACTTGTCAGTGTCACTCCACTCGGGCTCCGTCCACCCTACCACGTGTTTTGCTAAAAGTTTCGAGTCTACGTGATTAAGGTTGCAACTAGTAATACAATTTTTACTTGCTCGAGTAAGGTTCTACTAAAATTGCATCATGAAACTGATGCTTTAAAAATACTTACCAGCCAGAGGAAGTGAGTATTTGTAATCCCAAACTGAAATCTTTTACCCAACGTCTACCTGCCTTGCCTTTGTACTTGTATTTCCTAACTCGTGAAACGGGCATTTCCAGACCCTGGGCCCTTAGTCATGCTACGTCCTGCTGGTTTCCAATTTTTGGAGAATCTACCTTCTAAATATTTGAATAACCATCTTCCTCTTCAGCCTGCTGACATTTACTCCCTCATTACTTATCTCTTTGGTTACTGCAATAACTACCTAGCCGCCTAGGCAGTTTCCTGTCTTCAGCTGTCCTCTCTTTTCCAGCCTCCAGGTAGCTGCCAGAGAGGCTTTCTTTAGAAAAGACCTGTTTAAAATCCTTCAATGGCCTGCAGGGTAGACTACAACCTCCTTAGCTTGGAAGGCAGTGCCTTTCATAATCTGGCCCCTGAACTCTCTCCTCTCCTTCAGTGACTCTTTAGACTTGAACAGAACCAAACTACTTTCTTGACCCCCCTCTCTGGCTTTTGAATCTTTGCCCATATGGGCCTTCAGTGCTTCTCCTTTTTGCCTGGCAAACTCCTAGTCATCCAACACCACAACACCAAAAATTAAGCCTTTTTTCTGCAGCCCTTTCTTCATTCTCTCTTTCCGGACGCGCAGGCTCAGCGGCCATGGCTCACAGTCCTAGTCGCTCCGCGGCATGTGGGATCTTCCCGGACCGGGGCACGAACCCGTCTTCCCTGCATCGGCAGGCGGACTCTCAACCACTGCGCCACCAGGGAAGCCCCATTCTCTCTTCTTATTCTTTTCCTGCTTCGCTCTTAGAAAAAATAAACCCCATAAGAACCAAATAAAACATGGTCCTAGACCTCAAGGCAATTGTGCCATGTTTGTAGAGACATTGCCCCAAATCCTTTCTGTAGGATTGTCTCCTTGTCTGGAGAGACAAGACTAAAATCAGGGACTGCTACAAGATGACGTATTACTGATTGCTGAGAAAAAGAGAGTATCCACTTTTTTCTTATAACTACTTAGTACTCCAGCGAATTTAATTGGCGGACACAGTTGCTTTTTCCCTAAAATACACCCCCTCCCCAAGATTCTGATAGAACAAATTGTTGAGAAAATTGCTCCAGTACTTAACTCCTATGAAATTTGATGTGAGCTGTTTTCACCACATGAAATTGAAGATAGCTCATCTTGATCTTGGCCTAGATCCACAATCTCTTTAGGGTTCCTTCACTAGTTCACCTTGGGGGTATTAAGCAGTGAGTGCTTTCTGCAAATATGTGCACTTTTTTTTTTTTTTTCTGTCACTAAGAATGAAAGTTCCTCCAGGGAATGACCCTGGGTCGTTCATCTCGGTATCTTCAGCACCTAAACTCAAGCTTGGCACATTGTAAATACTAAATAAATGTGAGCTGAATGTTCAGCATTTCCAAATGCCCTTGTCCGACGTCTGAATCTCATCTAATATTCCTATACCAAGCTTGAATTGTCTTGGCATAAAGCTCATAATTAACACAATTAGGCTGGCCAGATACCTCCGCCCAGGCCCCACCTCCTTCCTAGCTCTTTCCTGCACCATGCTCTAAAACTCCCTCTAATTCTCATTCGTCCTCCTATCCAATACCACCTATGAAATTTTCCCTTTGCCCCGTTGTCCCAACAAGATTTGGTGAATTAGCAAGCTGACTAATTCTTATGAATTGTGGTGAGATGGTTGCTGAGACGAGAGGGGTTCCTCATCAACCCAAACTAATCCCTATGTAACCGAAAGTGGGGTCGGGCTGCTCGCCACTCAAAAGCTAGTAAAGAGGCGAGGCTGGTGGAAAAGAAAGTTTGCTTTAATTTGGATGCCAGCAACCTGGGGGGAGGGGTGGACCCTGTCCAAAGGCCGACTCCCCTCACTGACAATCAGTGGGCAAGAGATTTTATAGGCTGCGGGAGGGGCCTACATGCAGAAACAGCACAGTCAGCTCTGACAGTCATCTTGAAATTGGTCATGGGTGGTCTGAGCAGCGTCATCTTGATTGTTTTAAGTACGGTTCGTCTTCAGTTTGAGGGTTAGTTTGTTCCCGTTTCCTTGAGGCCAGTTCTTGGAATTGTGGCAGTTCCAATTCTTGTGGCAGTTCCAATTCTTGGAATTCCACAATTCCAAAATTGTGGAATTTTGTCACGGCTACAATCTGGACATCATGTAGTTAACTCTTTCCACCCGGTCGGGTTTCAGTATCTATAAGACAACTCACAGGAAATGGCTCAGAATATTATCTATAGCCTTTGAGAAGGAACTAAAGGTCCTTGACTATGCTTAATGACTAAACTATTATAATTTGGTCTCCTTTGACTGTTTTCCTTTGTTTCTGCATTTTCTCATTTCTCTGATTAAACTTATTCTTTGGCTAAAGTTTTTCCACAGACAAAAGGCAGGCAGAGGACATGGGGGACAAGGACCATAGGGTCCTGCTCCGTTTCACTGATAGAATTTTGGACAATGGGAGGAAAAAAGGATTTTTTTCATTCTTGTTTTATTACCATGGCTTTCCCATCTTCTGCCTGACAGTAGAAGCAGGATCTTGTAAAATGCCTTACTGAAATCAAGAAATGGTTCTATTTAAAACTTCTGAAACACAAAGAGAGATAGCTAAAGCTTTTTTCTATAAGCAGTGATTGCCTTCTCCATCTCTACTCCATTGTTACTGACATGCTGAGGGATTTCATAGTTTCATAGTTTAACTCAGTAGAGTTCAGTACATTTAATATTGGTTATCCAACATTTGTTTAAAGGATGATGTGATCAAAGCTATATCTGAATTAGATACTAAAACGGAGAAGCTGGCTTTATAGTCCCTGCCACTGCTCTCTAATTCTCACTATTGTGCCCAGTAAAAGCATTCTCACCTCCTACCCATTCCTTCCTGTGCGGTTGTGGTTGACTTCTTCTCATGCTTTCTCTGTTTGGATGTGGAGGTATCTCTGTTCACTGAGCTTAATCCGGGACAACAATGTTGCTCTCCTTCCAATGGCCTTATTCTGTGCTTTCTTTTCTAAAACCTCCAACCCCTACACCCCTTTCTGGACCATTTCCTACTCATGACATTAAGAGGGTTGATCGTTGTATACTTGTGGACCATCCCAATTCTGACATGGGCTCCCCTGAAAAACTCTATTCTACATCACCTCTGTGATTTTCTTTTACCTCTACCGTGGCTCATATTCTAGGAAGACAGCTCAGGTGGTGGTCTTCTCTGGTCTTTCCTGGACTACCCTGCTCTTTCTTAGCCAGCCCCTTCATTGGTTCTGCTGTCTCCCCTAGACCGCCCAGACGTACCCACAGTCCGTCTAGAAGGAGTTTTAGGGTGCCTTGAAGGCAGCCAGCCCTGAAGCAACAGATGCAGACTACTATCCAGCTGGTTCTCAACCATGAATTCTCTTATTTACATATCCATTTATTTAAGGACAATATTCATACGTCAAGGGTAATCATCAAGAGTCTGTATTGTTGCTTTGCTGGGACGGAATGGTTAGAATAGAGAAAGCATCCATGTCGCTCTGAGACTTCTATTCCTGGTAATGCAGCTGCTCACTGGGGCTTCACTGTTGGCACTTGAAGATCACAGTCCTTTCCTTTCCATAGGAGACCAAGAGAAAACAGAGTTGGGTGAAGGACCCTCAGCCTAGAGTCTGAGGTGTAATTCTCCTGCTGTTCCCAGAGATGCCTGTTGGACATGGTGGGGCTGTGAATTTAGAAAGAGGTTCAGAGATGCTTCTTTGATCACCCCCATGGGATGGGGATGCTGCTTTTTATTACCCTCATTTGCCCTGAGGGCCCTGAGTCCATGTGACTTTGCCATTCCTCCAGTCCTGCTTTGAGTTTCGAAGGTCTCTCTTCATTGAAAAATACAGCCCCGTGTCCACTGCAAACAGGAGTCCCATCACCAGGAAGAAAGTGATTTGGTGCCAAGGTGGAAAGAATGATGAGCTGGATGGTGGACTTTCTTGACCTAATAGGAGAAGCAGAGGGATGAGAATAAAATGACATTTGTTAAGGCAGAAATTTGGAATTAAACAGTGAGGTCATCAGTGGAAAGTCGTTCTGAAACCTGCTAAGAGACAGATTCTAAGGAATACGGGGGAGTCTGGAGGAGAGCCACAGCTTCCTCCCACTGGGTCTGGATCTTAATGCTACCTGAGCAAAAGTGTTTTCATGTTTGATGCAGGTATGTGACATAGCGTTGAGCAAGGTAGGTTGTAGCTGGGTTTTGTGTGAAATTCTGAAAGTAGTCAAAGTTTAAGTTGGTGTGAGAACACTATTTCTTAATTCAGTAACTTTCTCTTGTGTCCCAAAATAATACTCATTGTTTTAAGCCCACTAAAGGAAATCTACAAAAAACAAAAAAACAAAAAAAAGTGAACCATTGAAATCTGCTACTTACCGTCAGAAAATTGATAATATTTCTTTATCACGGCTCAGTAACTAATAACCCAAAATGGAAAGAGGTAGAATTTGCTTGTTCTCAACCTCTTAGCCCTTAATATTGTTATTTTAAAGTCATTCCTCACTGTAGTCTATAAACTGGTAACATTAGAGTGGATTTTTAGTCTTAATTTTTTTAACTCTTAATTTTGATTTAATTTCAAACTTAAAACAAAGGTTACCAGTAAAGTATAAATAACTCTCGTATATTCTTTACCTAGATTTACTAATTGTTGGCATTTTGCCCCCATTTTCTTTATTATTTGCTTTCTCATTCTCTATTTGAGAGTATTTATTTTCAATTTAAATTGTGATGAAGTTATTTTTTATACACATTATGGCATTGTTTTGTTAAAATCTCAGAAGATGTGTGGCTATCTTGCTGTCTTACTACATGTAAATTGCTTACAACAAACGTCTTAGTCTGATTGCAGGTGGAAGTTTTGTGAAATTAGGAAGTCCAGGAGCACGGTGGCAGGGGATCTCTGACCCTGGAGGATGGTACTACAGAGACTGGAGATGTTTTCTAAGTGACTTAGTGGAATTCAAAATTCTGTCATAGGACATTGGCGCCTGTCCAATCCTTTCATTTTATCTAGTGGTTCACTATGCAGGCTTCGAATCTTTGGTGTGCCCTTGGAGACACATTAATTACCCCCTCCCTTTTTTCCACCTCAGTTACTTCATCCGTAGAGTCAATATTACCGATCTCTTAATGTTGTTGTGAGGGGTTACTATGATCATCAGACTAGTTGCATGTAAAGAAGCACTCAGCACAGTGTTCAGCACATTGAAAGATGCCCAGTAAAGGTCAGCATGTCTTTGTTACAGAAGTGGAAACTGAGGTTCAGAGAGTCTAACTGGCCACAGTTCCATGGTTAATTAGCTGCAGAGCCAGAACACAGGTTATGGGTCTTTCTGTGAGAGAGTGAGGCGCTACTGCCAGCTTCGCTTTTGGCTATGACTTGAGGCTTGGAGGGGAAGGGAGAACAGGTAATGATGGGCCAGCATGATAGAGACAGATAACATTATGGATATAGTTAGAATGAGGTAAGGACAGGCATATTTATGGGGGAGGAAATGAGACTTCCACACCTGCTGTCACATTGCAGAGTGAATGACCCTTGTAAAGACGTCTGTGGAATGGTCAGCAATCTCCTCCCAACTCATCTTCCCAGTGTGAAGGCAGAGTCCCCACGCATGGTGCGTTGGGCCCTTTAGATGCGCTCTGCACAGCTCTTACCTTGAACAGTGATGTTCACAGCCTCTGAAGACTCGTTTTTACTCCCGATAATCCCCCTGCAGAAATAGGAGCCACTGTGTTCAAGTTTTGCTTCTGGAATGTAGAAGTCAGAATTCTGATAAGAAAACTGCTTGCCTTGGCCATTCTGGAAAAATTGAACCTTTTGTACAGTAGTTTTCTTCCAACTGTGACACTTCAGCTGAATGGGCTCCCCCTCCTGGACCACCCACCGAGGGGCCTGGAGCAACAGCCAGCCTGAAAGACACAAAGAGAACACAGGCCCAGGAGGCCTCAGCATTCAGTGCAAAGCTTTTGTGAAGGGGATGCTCACCACCCAGATCCTGGGGGATGATGGAAAGCCAGACTGGGAGCCATCCTTACATAGCTTTCTTTGGGAAAAAGCCAACTGGGCCCTGCAAGAGAACTCAAGTCACACCAAGAACTTTTGTCTAATGGTGGAGAGGGAGAGACACACACATGGTCAAAACAAAAGATTAGAGCATAGGGTCTAAGTGATGAGGCAGGTGAGAAGCAATCTGCAGTGTCCTTAATGGCTACACTTGGATTTGCTATGGCAGGTAATAAGGAGCCATTGTAAGTTCTAGATCAAAGAGTAAAAATTGTATTAGAAAATGATGATTTGCCCAATTAAAGGAAAGGTAGACTTCAGAAGGAATGGACAGTTGTAGGAATATTGGAAGACTGTTGCAGCCAGTCAGGAAGAAGGGTACTGAGTGGCCACAGGAGTGGCTGCAGAAATCATGAAGGAGAACTCAATATAAAAGTCAGGGAGGGGGGACTTCCTGGGTGGTGCAGTGGGTAGGAATCCGCCTGCCAATGCAGGGGACATGGGTTTGATCCCTGGTCCGGAAAGACCCCACATGCCATGGAGCAACTAACCCCGTGCGCCACAACTACTGAGCCTGCGCTCTAGAGCCCACAAGCCACAACTACTGAAGCCCGGGTGCCACAACTACTGAAGCCCGTGTGCCTAGAGCCCGTGCTCCGCAACAAGAGAAGCCACTGCAATGAGAAGTCTGTGCACCGCAACAAAGAGTAGCCTCCGCTTGCCACAACTAGAGAAAGCCTGCGTGCAGCCAAAACAGAAAAAAATTAAATTAAATCTTAAAAGAAAAAAAAAAGTCAGGGAGGGGAAACAAAAGCATGCGTGGTAGTGCTGATGGTAATTGGTGGTTTCTGAAGGGCCACAGCGTCTCAGCAAGGCCATCTTCATTACTGAGCACAGCTTCTGAGAGAGAGAATGTTATGTCACCAACATACTTGTTTTCACAACTGCCTTGCCAAGTAACCAGGCTCCACACACACAGAGAGAACTTGAAATTGTGGTCAAGAAGTTGGCCCGAATAATTAAAACTGATATTGCATAGAAATTTTAAAATGACATGAGAAAACATTCATCAGACAATGTTAAGTTAAAAAGACAGAACACAAAAAGTATGTATGCTCAGAAAAAAAGAAAAAACGTGGACTTAAATATTAACAGGGGTTACCTATGTAATCATATATGTATATGTATGGTCTGGTTTCTTTGGGGGGAACATTCTTGTTCCATTCTGGCTGTCATGGACTCAGTGAATGTCCATATATACATTCGTTAAACTAATATTTTATTGAGCACTTACTATGTTGTGCAGACTGGGGATACCCAGGTGACTAAGACACATCAAAGAATCTGTGATCTAGACATAGAAATAACTACAATACAGTGTGATAAATGCTACAACAGGCTAAGCACAAAGGACTGAAGGACCAAAGAGAATGGAGCAAAGAAATTCTGCCCGAAGAAAGTAAGGAAAGCTTCTCAGAGAAGGAGATAAGTGAAATGGGTCCTAAAGAATGATCAGGAGTTTGCCTGCTGAAGTTAATGCTCTTGGTCACAGTTTAAAACAGTTCTCACTGATTAGACTTCTAAGGTGAGTTTCTAGAGCCAAGCTTAAGACAAACTAGTAACTACCAGATATGATTTGTCTACTGCTTCCTGTTGGTAATTCCCCATTTTATTAGATCATAGATGGCCATCTATCTCTCACCTAGCTAGATAATAGACATTCCTCTTTGTAGCTCTGTAGACTGAGAACAATGTCAGCTAAGTGACACAGTCAGGCAAAGAAGCCAAGAAAATCAGCTTCAGATTCCATGGGATTCTGTTGCAGGTGCACCTTCATTAGGCCCTCCTTCCCCCGCAGACTGGTTCCACTCACATACAATATACAGATGGGGCAGCCGTGAAAATAGAGTCAGGCTTAACCAGGTGACGCTGCAGGTACCGGGCTATGTGGGGTGATTTCAGGGACACCGGGAGAGATCTCTGCCTCCAAAATATTTCTTCCACTTGCATCTAATGAGCGGATTCTGTTAATACACAAAGACTTTGATTCCATGATGAATATGCAGGCTGAATGTGTACATATATCTCTATTAGGAGAGATATCACACCGCCAAATTTATGCTGAAGTGTATATTTTGAGTGTGGTATTGATGGGAAGAGAGAGATAGATATTATGGTAAATTAGGGATGGCTTGTGGGGTAGCTTAGGGCATCGTGTGTCTGAGAGTGAGGAGATTGAGGTCCTAAAATGGATTCATTAATTTATTCAATAGCTATTATTGAGCATCAGTGTCATGCCCTGACCTCCAGATGACACCATTCATGCTGTATGTATTCTATGCGCATGCTGATTCCGAGAATTGTGCAGTGCAGCAGCCCTGTAGTATATGCCAGGCTTTGACTTTTTACCTAAGGCCTACTTATGGCTAGGACTACAATCTGATATAATTCAGTAGGACTACAGATCATCTCATCTTAGTGTTAAAGCCCCAGGAACATCATCTTCTGGTGCTTCCCAAGTCTTTCAGGGCCTCTTGTTTGACCATTTATTGGTGATTTCCCTCTTCCCGTTCACCTACTCACCCACGTAGACTTTTAGCTTCACCGGGTCGCTGAGTGTGGAGAGGCCTGTCTGACACTTGTAGTCTCCACTATCCTCAACTTTGGCATCTGTGATGAGGTAACTGGAGGCGTGGTTTGGGATGAGAGTCCCATTGAGCCACCACCGTGTGGAATTGTCTCCAGGAGCGTAGTCCCCCTGGCACTTTAGAGTCACGTGGTCATCCTTGAGCACCCGGTCCCATTGAGGGTCTAGGAGCACCACAGCCTTTGGGAGATCTGCCGAAGAGAATGTAGATAAGGGCAGGGAAAGGAGCCGGCCCTACACTGGCATTCCCAGGGAGGCTCAAAACCCACTGCGAACCGAGAGTTGGCAACTCAACCTCAGCATAGCCCTCAGTCTGAGCATTTTGGCTTGGAGAGGCTTGGCCTCCTTCTTTTTGCCTCTCACTGTTGTGGCCTCTCCCGTTGCGGAGCACAGGCTCTGGATGCGCAGGCTTAGCGGCCATGGCTCACGGGCCCAGCTGCTCCGCGGCATGTGGGATCTTCCCAGACCGGGGCACAAACCCGCGTCCCCTGCATCGGCAGGCAGACTCTCAACCACTGCACTACCAGGGAAGCCCTGGCCTCCTTCCTGGTTTCTCTTTATCTTGAGCAAAACTGGCCAGAGAAGCATAGGGCCAAGCCCTACTGTGTTGGGGAATTACCCCTGCCAGCCCCACACCAGCAATTTCCTATGCAAAGAACATTTCCTAACACCCTGTGACAATTGCACATTTACATTCCTCACTTGACCCATCCAGGACCACGAAGCAAACTCACCAGCTTGCGTGCCAGCTGAAACTGTAAGAAAAAAGAGTGAAACAAATATTGAGTAGCAGCGGAGATCAGGGTGACTGGAGTGTGGAGTGAGTTTAAACTCCCCTGCCCACCTCTGCCCTGGGAGGCCTGTGTTCCCAAGAATCAAGATAAATATAGCGGATAGCTCTCCCATTGCCTGTCCTCTGGTCTCCAGTGTCTGTGCCTCCTTCTCCCTTGTCCACCTAAACCCCTGTTTTCAACACCATTCCCTTACTCTGTGGTCCCCGTTCGAACTCCCAGATTAAGGGCACAGATCGAATATCCCTGAATCAAGCCATAAAAACAACCTCACCCCAAGTCCGCTGGAAAGGGAGGAAATTAAAAGACTTAGAGAGGACCACTGGAATGTGAGAATGGAAGAGACAGACCTTCAGGACCATCTTGTCCATACTCTTCAGTTTATAGATAGACAAACTGAGACCCAGAGCGGTGAAGTAACGGAGACCTCACGTCCCCCTTCAACTCCTGATTACGCCCAAATCAGGGCCAGCAATTCTCCACATCTCTAATGCTTGAAGCTTTGTCCTAGAAGCTAAATCTAGATCTATAGACCTGGTAAGGGGTCCTATCCCTTGGTAGGGGTCTCATCCCTTGCCTGAAAAGGGATGTCTCCTGAACCCAGGACATCTTGAGCTCAACTCCCAGGCAGGGTGATTCTGACTTACCTAGAAGCAGCAGAGCCGTTGATGGTAGCAGCTGCCACATGCTGTGCATTAGAGTAGACAAGTCACCACAGATATCAGAGCCCTAAGGGGACTTAGTTGACTTGAAGAGAGGAAATAAACAGCCTTTCTCTCCACCCCTCAAGCCTATTACTCATCAGTTTCCTTTTCTGGAAACATCATTTGATTCCTGAATCTGAACGCTGACAAATGAAACCCCACCTCTCTGGTTTGGATCCACCCGGTGACACGAACAGGACAACAGCACCCTGGGAAGGAGACTCAATAAGGAGGACATTCCCTGACGGGGTCTCTTGTTCTACCACAAAACTTCTCAGCCTCCTGCTTGGCCCAGACCCATCTCCACCCAGCCAGGGTCTGCCTACAGAAAGCAGTCATTTAAATCATCAGATCATTAGAAGTGTCCCTCGCCCCAATATTATCTCCACCAACATTTTCTTTCAAAATTGGAAATGCATATGCCTCTGGGATCTCTTACTAACTCCTTCGTGTGAATTCGATCATGAGATTTGCATCCTCTATTAAAAGAAACACAGGCAGTGGGAGAGAAATGGGCTCTGGGAGGAGGGGTTACCACTGAAAGGTTGGAAGGAACACAGAAGAGGTGGAAATGGGGTGGGGGGGAAGGGGGCAGGGTGAGGCGAGGACCAGAGCATTTTACCTTCACTCCAGTGTTATGAGGGCTGTGCTGGGCCACAGTAGTTCAGGTTAGCTTGGGCCCCTCAGGAAACCACTGGGCCTCAGCTGGTCTGTGAGCCTAGCAGCCTGAGTTCCAGGGCTTCTTACCAGAAAAAGTGTAGGCACAGTGGTTAGGAAGTGGTTAGGTTGCTAACCTCTTCTCCTCTTTTCTCAACATCTCTCCTGCCAACACACACAGACCCATACCCTCCCCCACCCTCACCCCTACTTTGTTTGCTCTCACATCAGTCTAGGTCTCAGACAGAAAATCAAATGGCTCTGCTTGGCCATATCATGCCCCCAGCAGATTCCTGGACATCTGGGGCAGGTCTCACTTGGAAAAGCCTTGGAAAAGCCCAGGAGGTAAGCAGCAGACGGAAGTGAGCCAGCGATGTTTGGCAGGGGTAGAGTGGAGGCAGGGGCTGGCACAGGTGCCTGCTGAGCACCGCTTTGGACTCATGCCCCTTTCCACTCCAGAGTCAAATAAAAACGACTTCACAGGTTTTGATTTCTGTTTTGTTTTGCTCCTGAGTAGAGTTATAATTGATCCTCCACGATTTCCGTCCTCCGCCCAACACGTTCCTGCAGCAACCCTCCCCCACAGGCCCTTGGATTAGACGTCTGACTAAGATGGACATTCTAATGCTCCCTCTTAAGTGATTTGTTCACACCTTCCAAAATCCAGACTAGTATCTGAAAGCTTCAGGCTCCATCATATAGTACACTTCAGATGCTTATCTGGGAAACCTAAAACAGGAAGAGTACCTTCAGGGCTTTCTGTGGTTTCTGAGGTGAAAGGTGGCTACGCTTCAGCACTCTCTGTTGTTCATTGCTACTGAAGTGGCTTTCTGCAACGTGATGGGGTGCAAGACATTCACTTCAGTTTTCCTTCTTTGAGGTTTTATTTTCTCATTGACTAGTTTTCTGTCTGTGGCCTTCAAATGGAGGGAGGAATTGTCAGCTGCCGAGAGGGTGGGCTAGACAGGAAGGCGAGGAGGGAGAGCACAGGAGGACAGCAGAAGAACGGGAAACGTTCTGCAGGTTTTCCTGAACAATCCTCCAGCTGAGTGTGTTGGGGTGGTATGCGTTAATTTTACAGTGATAGGTAAAATGCAAATTTTTAAAAGAAGGGCACATGGTCTTGGCATATTTTAGGCTGGAGTGTTTGTCTCCACGCTTGCTTTTTCTTTTCTCCCTCATCCTTTTCTTTACTCCCTCCCTTCTTCTCTTCCCTAATGTTGAAATGACAGCCACAGCACAAGGTTCTGAGATTACAGAGTTCATCAGTTATCATCCCCCGGGATTTATAGTTTCTTAAGGGGAGACTACCAGATTAGCATCTGAAGTGCTTTAGGGATTATGAGAGTACGTCTGAAATTCTGTGTGTGCACAAAGAAGCCAGTGGCTAATTCTGTCTGGGGGAGGAGTCCACGTGGAAGAGAGAACACTTTAATTGGATCACAGAAGATAATTATGTGTTCAGCAGGA